AAATCTGTGCTAGAAATACTTTTGGTTTAATTTATAATCCATAATCTATAGTGAATCTATAAAAAAAAATCCTAACATTCCAGGGGCATATAGTGATCTGCATTATCATCAGTGATAATCTATGATTTAACCAGAAAAAAAAAAAAAAACTTTTACAGTATACATTGCGAGTATACAGACCAGAATACAATTCTGTGGAAACATTTTTCATGCTGCTTCCTTCTTTACGGACTTTGTGGTTCATTGCTGATGTTCATCATTTACGTTCTCCTTACAAACTACAGGATGGAACCAGAGGAGCATTTATAATGAATTTGAATTCGACACATTTGGACCTTTTGTTACTGAACAAGTGATTTCTGCAGGGAGGGTTGTGGCTGCAGCTTGACTAATTGTAAACAACATTGTGGGTTATGGAAAGTTCTGCAGTGCACTGCAATGGTTTAGTCTTTGACATCATAATACCTACCAGAGATAATACTTTTATCACACAATTAGTCTGAATGGAAACATTTTTACTGCCATGTTTGTTCTCAGTACACAGTTCACTCAGGAACACTGCATATCCTTCGGACATATTGTGTATTTGAGTATTTTAAAAGGACAGACGGGACACGCTGCTCCATTAGTTCTGAACTATCTCTGTGTTTTAGAACTAAGCCTCAGTTCTCTGTCTCACACCAGTAAGCTTGTTGTAATTACTAGTCAGGTATCAGAGCTATTAAGCATCGCATTAACAACCTTGCTAAGTGTTCATTATCTCCAGGTTATTTGTGTCTTAAATTCAGCACCATGTTCTGCCTTATTAGGCTGCAGTCAGCCAATTAGCCACCAGGAAATAATTAATCAACAGCTTCTTGACCCACTCTCTTCAACTAAAGCGGCATTTTTCTTCCCCCCCCTGCCACCAAACGCCACATTTTCACTCATTTAGATATTAAAAGTAGTTGATCTCAAAAGGTCTTGCCACATCAGGGTGTCTTATTTTTTCCGCTGTTTCTGTGTCTGAGAAGCTTTTATTTTGTGCATTTTGTCAGGAGATGGGAGGTATTTTCCAGGCTGATAATGAACTCAGCAGGGGTGTAATGATGAGACACCAGGAGAGCTACAGGTGTGTTCAGTGAGGCCACAGTCTACTCCCTCAACCTGCAACACACCCCTCAGCACATACACATCGCATCACATCTAACACTTACATACAAAAAGGATCGTATTCATTCATTCATTAACTCTTTAATTCCGGGCCTCTTTTTTTGATTTATTAATTTCTTATTTATTTGCTTTAATTTTAATATGATTATGACTGATTTAAGAAAATGTGGCATTGAAAGCATAAAATAAGTCCTGAAAAACCACAAGCAAAGTCCATAAGCTTGTTTTCAAGGAATAAATAAAAGCCAGAGAGCTGAAGACAAATCACCAAATCACATCATTTACAGACTACGACCTGCAGGCACATTTCAAACAACCTGCAAAGTTTTAAATTATTCATAGATTACACACTGGATACAGGAAATATTAGAACAGATTAATTGTGCTAATCTAAGCCTCAGCTAACAAAATGTTATTGAAAACTTATTTGAGATGTGGCTGGTTAGTGTTGTAGGTTTTAAAAGGTGTGAGAACCGCTCAAGAGATGTAGATATTTTCTTTAATCACAGCTAAGTCCTGAGGCCTATGAATAAGTCAGAAGTCCATAAAAACTGAGTATCCTCAGCAGAATGCTGTTTGGACAATAACAATAAACATTACGATAAATGCCCTAATTAGGTGTTTGTTGAGTAGTGAAACAGATCTGTTATTTGTTTTGTAATAATTGCCCTATAGACTGGTTTACTGCCCAGCTGCATGTTTCCCTTTAGGTGTTCCCAGTTTGGTGCCTTGAAACAAATCATCTGTCCCTATTCCTTAAGTAAATCATATAATTTAATTACAGGTTAAGTTATATGCTGTATTGATTCATATCGTTCGCTGATTTGAAAGGAACATTTTAATCATCCTACAAGTTTTTTTCTGATCCAAAAGGTAAACAATTAAAATGACATTCTTTTTAATTTGATCAATAAACTAGAGAGCACTGGAAGAGTGCAGACCTCTGCCAAGTAGCTCTTTTCCACCTCTTAAGTTAAAAGCTTTCTTCACAGAATCTTTCAAAAAGTTCCTAGATCCAGATGCTGATCTGGAACATAGACAAAATTTAAAGGTATAATTGAGGATGTTCTTTTTCCTGGTGAATCATGAAAATAGGTCAAATTTCCTCCTAGTTGCCAGTCAATCTGGTGACATGTTTACATAAGGCCGTCCTACGTGCTCGTCCCCATTTTCACTTACCAGTGGTGAGTCTGACATAGTTGAAAAATTGCAAATCTTCTTTTGGAAAGTAAGCTTGTATGAGCGTTGCACACATAAACTTTTAAACAGAGTGTGCACAAGGAGAAATGGACTCATGCATGCTCCCACGTGTTTAATAGGCGGTACCTCTTGGGAGTGGGTAGAGGGTTGTGCATTTTCAATAGTTTTTATACACATTTTAAAGATTTGTGTTAAATTGCTCAAATCAAAATTCAAAAAATAATTTATTTGATTGTCTTCCCACATTTTCCAAAACTATTGCCCCACTTCCAATATCCTGCAAGGTGTTTTGTAAATTATTGGTACATAAAATTGTATCTGTTGCGAAATCTCAGTAAATCAGCTATTAAAGCTTTATTTTTATATATATATATATATATATATATATATATATATATATATATATATATATATATATATATATATATATATATATATAATTTAATATAACATGTAACTGATTTTTAAATCTGCTTTGTGAAATGAAATGTTTTTGTTTGGGACTTAGCTGAAATATTTCCCAAAATCAAAATACTCTGTTATACTTCTTCTGAAGTTAGAAATTCACGAGAGGCAGAATATAAAGAAACAATAACTAATAGTTAAGAGGGGATTCTTTGCCTTCGTGCAGCTTTCCAGTTTTTTATTTTTATTAAACTCTGCTTACTTGCTTACTGCCCACTTCATTCTTCCACTTTACTTCCTGGTCTTTCTATCACAGATGCATGCAGCTGTTTTATCATGCTGAATGCAGTTTCTTACAATGGGAAAGCTGAAGTGTTAAATTAACAGGAGGCACCCACTGCTGTCACCAGTGATATTTTACAATCTGTTCCAGCAAGCTTGACAGTCCATTTGTTATCACTGAGATAAATTCCTGTAAATGCATCAGCAGTCATCTTATGCTCACTCCTTTAGTGATCTTTTATCAGTTTCAGAGGAGTGAACTTCTCTCCTCCCCATCAGTCCTGCTTATATGGATTGGTTGGTTGACAGCTGTGTTGAAGAACAGAAGCAGAGACAGAAACATTAATTAAATGAATCTAATAATAATCCCGGTCATTTGTCAGAGCAATGATATTAATGTCAACCTACTAAGCTCTTCTTTAATAAATTCATCCTCTGATTCCAGGTCATTTTGAGTGGGGAACATCACTGTTCTTTACTATTCAAGCAAAAGTGTTCTATTTACTCTACTTAAGGGAATTTGTGCATTATTTTTAAATGTAATGCATATGTTTAAAATACAGCAATTCATGCCTAAAATTGCTTTCCATACATGGTAAAAAAAAAAATCTATATAAATTTATTTCAAATTTTATTAAATTTCTAATTATGGGACATTGTTTTAGAATAGTTTATCATTTACACAAGTATATATAATAATATTTTTTCCCTTGATATCTAATTCATAGCTCAAAATATTCCTTTAGTAATTTTTTTTACACATGATAATAATAATAATGCATATGACTAAACTAGAATCTTTGCAGATTCAGCACTGTAACACACAAATAAATCTATTTATATTGATGTTGATAACCTTTGATCATTAAATTTGACTTTTTTTGTACAAGCAAGTATAAAGATGTAAGAAGAAAGACCAATTTCTAAAAATTAACAGAGTGAAAACATTTGTTTGACTGGTATCTGAAAAATAACAATTAAATAAAATGAAGCCATGATATTTATACACTTGCACAGGAAGCAAATCTGTGCATAAACCCCTCTGTAGGTTGCATGTAACCTCATTTTTTGTTTTAAGTTTCCTGTATATATGTTGGGACGTTTTAGCTGCAGAGGTCACACATGCTTCTCTCCTCTTTCCTAAACTGGAGGAGTTTGAGGCGCAGTCACGATGCGAGCAGGCTTGGATGTCCTCTCCAGCAGCGCAGATGCCACTAAATAAAATATTTCATAATCCTGCCCAAATCCTCTAATCACCATGACAACAGGCAGCAGGGAGCCAGAGAGAGGATGCGTTTGGACCCCCCACCTCTTTTTTTGCTCCCTCTTTTTCCTTCTTTGTTTGTATTTGAATAAACAGTCTAATCATAGTCTCCTTGTATCCTGTCTGCTACATGACTTGGTAAATTGACTTTAGACTTTTATTGATTTGTCATATTGAACAACAGTTTGTTTTTTCTTTTTTCTTGGCCGTATTTCTGACCCCGTTTTCATAGAAATGGGTTGTTGTTTTTTTTGGAGATAAAACATACTAGTTTTAATGCGACCTCAGAATGACTCCAAATAATCGAAAGTATACAAACCTTATCTTACTACACAATAAAGACCTGTCGGCTCCTGTGAAGTGATAGGATAATGGAGGTGATGACCTCATGAAGTGAAAAGACCTGTTGCCTGGTAACAGTGTGGAAAACAGCCAGTCATGGAGTGGTCATATCATCAGTGTGAATATGTGTGCATTTGAGATATTGATCTGTGCTGACAGGTAGAGGATGATGATGATGACAGTGGTTTAGAAGAAGGGAGGTCCAGTTTTATGAGGATCGATCAGGAACCAAAAACAGAGTCTGTTCTAAACACTTCCTAGATTCACTTCCTACGCTTTAATGATTCTTCTTTGGGTAACTTGACTGTGTTGGTGCCAGGTATAAATAATTGACTATCTCTCCTGCTCTCCACAGGTATCCGTCCCCAGATTATGAATGGGCCTATGCACCCACGCCCCCTGGTGGCGCTGCTGGATGGGCGCGACTGCACCGTGGAGATGCCCATCCTCAAAGACCTGGCCACTGTGGCTTTCTGTGACGCCCAGTCCACACAGGAGATACATGAAAAGGTATCGCTCATTCATAGTTAATGAGTAAATAATCAGCCATTCCTCTTAGATCTTACTTTATGACTTTTTTTATGATAAAGACTGAGATTTTCCAACAATGAATAGTAAAATGCCAGCACAAAGCAGCGTCTGCTGGAGAAATAACTCTGCATTAACTTCTGTTTCTAATTTTGTTTGCTTTCTGCTCGGCAGCGAGAACCATCTTTGTCCTCCTTCCAAACCTCCTCCTCTGTAGTGTTTTAATGATATTTCAGCCCACTGGCTCGTTCTAGTCTCCCAGTACAGCCATAATGGTTTCATCACTGACGCTAATCCCACTGGGGGCTGAAGTGCAGCTTTGTTAACTAAGGAGGAGTGGGAGGAGGAGGAGGCTGGTAATAGAAATGCAGTGTAATTGTTCTCAGCCAGAGTGGGTGAAACATTTGTCTTATTTTACTGTCTATACACTAGAGCCAATGAGAGGCAAGTTTACAGTCCAAACTCAAGAGTTTTAAGAGGCTGATGGGAAAAAAAACAAGGCAAATTCTGCTCCCCTTTTCTACCTACAGTTAAAAAGTAGCTTTTTTTTAACAGTGATTGATTTAATTTACCGTTTGCAGAGACAAAATCCTAAGTAAATCTTTTTGTTTGCATTAGGACTCTGTGTGCAGTGAAATGCTCTCAGTGTGATTATGTTACACAAACAGAGGGCCCATCTGGAAGCATCAGCGTTGGCTGCAGTCCCACACCGATAGCTACACAGCAGAGGATACAGAGGGGCTGCAAATATGCATACACACACATTCACACACACACTCTAAATTACTCACAACCTCACCAGCTCACTGTGGGAAAACTGAAGCAAACTGCTTGGCTTTATATGTTTTTTTTTGTTTTGTTTTTTTTTCTTTACAAACGAGATGCACTGAATTTATTATATGCAGCAGCGACTGTTTGACTCATTTTTTTGTTTTGTTTTCCTATGTGTTTCTGCATTTTATTTAAATCGGTTAAATCAGTTCACATTAGTTCAGAGCAGTTTGATTCGATTACGTTTTGTTTGGATCTAAGATAGAATTAGTCAAATTCATATCGTTTCTAATTCTGTTCCAAATTAATACATTTCCGTTGAGTTCAGTTTAATTTAGTTCAGTTACATTCTTTTAAATGGATGTATGTATGTAATAAAATAATCTAATTATAATAATTTGTAGAGAAAGCAGTTACAGCTGAAATTAGTTAAATTATTTTCCACTTTAGTGTGATTCAGTTTTGTTACAGTTTCATCCAATTTAAGTCAATTCATTCTAAATTGGTTTCTTTAATGTCACACTGAAGAGGCATTCAAGCTTTTATGGTTTAATTCTATAAAGTACATAAATATTAATGATTATTTATCATTTCTTTTAACCAAGCTGCTTTACAAAGTGCATAATTTAGCAGGCTTATTTCCAGCCTCTTCTGGTTCTGCACTTATGTAGCAAAGAAATCTCAATTGATCTGAAGGTGCAGCTGAAAGCCTGCAGCGGTGAGGGCTTTGTGGATCCTGCGGAGGGAGAAATCACGCATGATTGGCGATCCAGTCCTGTCCTTGAAAACACAACAACGACATTAGAATTTCAGAAAGAAATCATAGTTTAACCATTTTCTGCTGTTTCTTTGACATCAATTAGATAGCAGCTGCTTGATGCTGTTTTCCCACAACCTTTACAAAAGCACTCCGACAAACCGGGAAATATTTTTCAACCAAGTTGAAGTTAAACACAGTCACTCATGCATAAAAATATAAGCTGGACAGCTTTTTTAGCTTATAAGGTAGGTGTCTTCTGACTGGTGATTTTGGATGCTGCCTTTATTTTTACAGCTCAATCCTCTTTCTTGCAACAGCTTTTGCATTCATTAGTCTTTAGGACTAAACCTGCTGATGTGTTGCATCAAAAAGCATTTAGTAAGTAGCAGCACAGAAAGGAATCTTGTCATCAAACCATGAAAGCTTTTTTAGTAGATTATCTTTTTGTCGTTTGATTTTAAGACAGAAAAACAGTTAAGAAAATAATGTTCTTACCCTTCCTGTTGTGAGTGGCTGTTATTTATATACTTGCTTTAAACAAGGTTTTACTCTATTTAAAACAAGACAAAATAATAATAGTTATTATACTTCAATGTTAGAGAGATGGCTTCAATAGGGACCAATATTTCTGTCTTTTATGACTGTGATGCCAGGAAGTGGTTAACAAAGCATCACAGGAAAAAGTCTGGCCCAAATTAGAACTAAAAAGAATAGTTATGAAAGCTCTCTAATTACCATGTTTTAACTATTGTGTTTTTTTTTTCAAAAATCTCAAACGTATTTTTTTCTTTTTAAACTAAAAGCTAAACACATTTTCTGTGTAACTTTCAGATAATTTTAAGGATTTGTGTTTTTGTACCATTTAACACTAGATATAGTGCTGTAATAGACAATACAGGAGAATATTTGGTTTTCAACTCTTCATGAAGGAGGAAATTAAAGGATTTATTAAAATTGTTGTCAAATATGTCCCTCCTGCTTAACACCATGTAATGATTTGCTGACGTCCTCTATCTGAGCCTGCAGCCTTCCTGTTCCACTCATGTAATAACATTAATGCACAAAAAAAGGCTTTTACCTTGACTTTTTGCATCCACTTCCTGTTTTTTTTTCTCCGACTCCAATAAAACATAGATGGAAATTCATGGCTATGCTAATCTAGCTCAGGTAGGTCAATTCTGTTAGTGGGTCATGAATTTAAAGCAGTTGTTTAACAGCCTTGGCTCACAGCAGCCACTTCTTAATGCTGGCTGGGTTGCTCAGCAGCTGTCAGTCTACTTTATTGTCCGGCCTGCATCCGTTCTGACCTTGTTTGCATACAGCCTGAGTTAATGGATTGTGACAAAAAGCAGCTTTTGCAGGAGCTCATTATACAGCAAACACACAGACAACTACTCGTGTTTTAGAGCGCTCATAAACAATCCATTTGCATTTAGATGAAGGACGGCGAACATACATACAGGTCCAGAAAAATGGAAGGTGGTCTGCAACAAGTCGCTCAGGCAGTTTGACAGTTGGAGTAAAAATAGAGGTATGATTTAAATGGATGATAAGGATGATGGTGATGAACTCTCTAATGTCCCTCAGGTGCTGAACGAGGCGGTGGGGGCCATGATGTACCACACCATCACCTTGACTAGAGAAGACCTGGAGAAGTTCAAGGCACTGCGCATCATCATACGCATAGGCAGCGGCCATGACAATATCGACATTAAGGCTGCCGGCGAGCTGGGTGAGTTACTGCAGTTCAGAACAAGGCATTTCAGCAGGAGGCAGTGATCATATAGCAGGAATAATAAACTAAGAACCTGCAGGAAGCAGTTATGGCCTGTTTATAAAGACCAGAACTGCAGCAAAAATGATGCTAGGGTGATAAAAAAAATTCCGTCCTGTTCACAGGATCTAACCTTACTGGCTTTATTACCTCAGCGTAGCAACATGTTGTAGAAATGATTTATCTTTTAATGCAGGAGGTGATCAAACCACTCCCGAGCAGATGCTTTAACTCAATTGAAATTCTCTCTATTCCCATTTGGCTCCTTCAGCACATGTTTGGTATGAAAGCAGGATCTAGTCTGACAATCCTGATTAATGTTGTTATATTTCCACAAATTAGCTTGGATTTGTTAATGTAGTCTCCATTGAGGTAGTGCTTAATGGCTTTTCCCTTAAGCAGATTTCTTTTGGTTTTAGTTTTAGTTTTTTTTATATTGAATATAAAATCCGTGAAAATGAAACAATGTTTTCAAATGATAATCATGGGATGAAAGCAATCCTAACAAAACTCATGGTCTCCAAAACCCAAGAATTAGTTATAGCACCTTTGTTTGCACCAACTTCAAGCCCTTACAATATCTGACATCCATTATTTTATGGTTGTATGGAGTATTTCAAACCTCCCAATTTACTAATGTGTGCATTTCTTTTTATTCAGGTCATTTTTAGATGAACTATCCTATTAAAAAAACTCTTTAAATAATCAGACGCATCTAAAAATGACAGAAAAGCGTGCAAAACATTTTCTAATAGAAGTTCAGACGATAATCTATTCTTGTTAGTAACAAATTTTTTATGTTGTATTTTAAAGGAGAATTCCGGTTTTTAACACTTTTAGCCCATTTTCTGTAGTGTCCAGGATGAAATCGAATGATCGACACCAAAATTTTGACAATTGGTTCTGTCTCTGCTTTTTGGCTCATGCAGAATCCCCCCCTGGCTGCTTCAGAACGGCTTCCATAGTGCATGTCCGATAATGTCCTTAAAACAACCTTAAACGTTCTTTTTTTTAAATATGCTACTCACCGGGTCGTCAGCGCTGTTCAATGACGTTCCAAAAAAAGTTTCGTAAAGAAAAAACGTTTTGTAAATCCCATTGAGTTCTGTTGGAATAGTCAATATTCCTCTGCCACCGGAAACGGAAATGGGGCCTGTTTACACAGTTGTAGTCTTTTCGCTTCACTCTGTGTACTCCGACGTCGAGGTGCTAACGTCTCTGTTAAACACTTTAAAAAACTCTGAAAATGGAATACGAAAGGTGGATTCTTGATTCTCGACGTCGGAGTACACAGAGTGAAGCGAAAAGACTACAACTGTGTAAACAGGCCCCATTTCCGTTTCCGGTGGCAGGGGAATATTGACTATTCCAACAGAACTCAATGGGATTTACAAAATGCTAAATAAAACACTACAAGAACGTTTTTTCTTTACGAAACTTTTTTTGGAACGTCATTGAACAGCGCTGACGACCCGGTGAGTAGCATATTTAAAAAAAAGAACGTTTAAGGTTGTTTTAAGGACATTATCGGACATGCACTATGGAAGCCGTTCTGAAGCAGCCAGAGGTGGATTCTAAATGAGCCAAAAAGCAGAGACAGGACCAATTGTCGAAATTTTGGTGTCGATCATTCGATTTCATCCTGGACACTACAGAAAATGGGCTAAAAGTGTTAAAAACCGGAATTCTCCTTTAACTCTCAACATTACCAGCATCTTTATCTCCCTATGTGTCTTTTCCAGGCATTGCAGTGTGTAACATTCCCTCCGCGGCTGTAGAAGAGACGGCAGACTCAACGCTTTGTCACATCCTTAATCTTTACCGGCGAAACACCTGGCTGTACCAGGCTCTCCGGGAGGGCACGCGGGTCCAAAGCGTAGAGCAGATCCGGGAGGTGGCGTCCGGAGCGGCCAGGATCCGAGGCGAGACGCTTGGCCTCATCGGATTTGGTGAGAATCTCATTTAGAAAGTTTTATTTCACCCAGACAGGATTTGTAGAACTATGAGGGTTCAGTCTGAGGTAGAAAAGAGGGAGAATGATACGTTTTAATGGAGGAATCATTCTGCTGCCTAATAGGCCTGCAGAGATTTACTGAAGAGTAGTGTGAATAAAGGAGTTAGTTAATCATAGCGTTCTCCAACTTTCAGACGTTTTGATGCCAAAAAACCTCATTGCTTTAATGCTGATACATTTTTAATGCAGACTTCTGCAGTTTCTGCAGTATTTTTTTCTTTACTAACCTCCATAAAATATATCAGCACTTTTGTGCAAAACCTTCTTTCCTTTTTCAAGGGGCTGTAAATAGACCAAAATACAGGCTTATAATCTGTCTAAAAAAATCCTGAAGACAAAAACATGTTCAGTTTGTTTTCTAATTTGAATCCCTGCTTCACGTGTGAACTGCCTCCTTAAAGTATCCCGACACCTCAAGCTTCTTCATATTTCCTCATGTTGCAAACACACGTTTTAGTGTTACCACCAACTAAAATGGAACGGAAATGTTAATCAGAGAAGCTGTGGGGTGCTTGGGATGTTTTGAGAAGCTGCATAGATCCAGCTCAGGTTACTAAAATGAAGGTCAGAAGAAGTTCAACATGCAGTTTGTCACAAGTATTGGAGGAGATGCTGCAAAGAAGAAGGAACTCTGGTTTCATCAGATCTCTTACATTTTTGGCCTTTTTACAGTGAAACTAACACTGCAGAGCACTCTAAACAAATCACGCACATGTTCAATCATGGTGGCAGAATAGTGATGTGGGGTTGTAAGGTTTGGATTAATATATTTCATGTGTTAGAATTACCCATAAAAAACCAATTTAGGATTTTGGTAAGGCTTATGAGCTGATGATCTCAGAAGCTTCCTCTCCAGGCTGAGATGCACAATTATGTAAGCTGATTGTGGTCACCCCCAAAAAACCTGCAGATGCAGTTGTAGCTCAGATAAATCTATAAATCATGGACTCAGGGTAGACGGACTATAAATACACACCAATAAACAAAGCAATGTCTAAGATGTGTGCATATGTCTGAAAAATCCTGTAAGTTCTAAGTTTCCATTGGAAGCTACAAGGTGTTGACCATTATTTTAGAAAAAAAATCTTTTGGTTTTTTTTTAACAACAATGTCCTTAACTGCCATAAAAATATTAAAGTTTATTTGAAAAAAACAAAAAACAAAATCCAAGTTCTTTCTTTTTGTGAAATTTTACATTAAGTCATTTCTTGTGTAAATGAATAAAGAGAAAAGATAATAAAACTGAATTGCTTTAACTGTGGAAATAAACTTCACTGCTTTTCTAACCTTTGCTTACTTTAAACAAGTCAAATCAAATGTGCAGTTTGGTCCATGGCCAACAATTGCAAACTTTAATCCCTCCATGTTATCATATTAGTATCTGCTATGGGGCTATTTCTATTGCAACAGCCTTTTAAAAGAAAGTATAAAAGTGTCATCTATGTATCTCAGTCATTTTCAGGTTTTCACCTTAAATCATTTAAACACATTTATGCATAAAACTTCAAATCATAAAGCAAACATGAAGAGAAGGTGCATTTCAATAAATGTTGAATTAATGTTCTGTTTGTGTGAGCTATGGGTAATATTTGTATAAATGAAGATGTGTGTAGACATCTTTATACAATACATATATTAATGTATTTGTTCACTTAATGTACTTTTGGAGTTTTATGAGCTTATAAGTAAAGGAGGAATCTGAAGGATTGTTGGATAAAAACCATAGGAGTAAGAAAGGATATGATTAAATAAGGATTACGTCTTCATTCCTCTTTTCAGACAATAGCACAAAGTTATATCATATAATAATAAAATATCATTAATTATTTAAAATATTTGCAAGTTAAATTGTAATTTTACCCAATCAGAATTTTGTATTCATTCATTAATAGATTTTATTTTTTAAATGTTTGATTTGATCAACCAGTATTACTTTTCATCATCTTTAGTTTATTTTTTCTCTATCATCTACTTCTCTTCATCTTCATTTGCAAACCTTGGAACATGCAGGTTTTTACCAAGTTAGACAGAAGTTACAAAATCAATGAAAGTTTAGTCGTGTGTTAGAAAAAGCTGTTCATTTTTACACGTGACTGTAGAGGATCATCTAGATTTGCAACTACAACATATCCTGCAACAGACTGTCTTGATGCTTTTAACTATTATCTTTTGTTCCTGCATTTTAGCTATGATGTAACCCAGAGGCACATTTCTCTTAATCAATCTTCAAAATGAAAAAGACAAGAGAACATGTTATCCTTGTAAGGCAGGAGTGTTTTATATTTTAAGGTCAAGAAATGCCTTCAGTGAAACAGCAGCTCATTTAGCCCAGGGATTTTCTTTGGAATATAGCAGCAATTTGGTCATTGATGGGAGTTATTTCACACTTTTTATCATATAACCACAAAAGCAACAACAAACCGTATTGCTGGATTGGAAGCTCCATGTTTTATGCCCACTTTCTCTTCCTGCGCATTTTTTAGTCTGAATCTCAGCCCCTTTTAAGTGCACCACTTAAAGAACTTGGCTGCTTTTGGTTATTCTCTACCACCAAAATGACTGGTTAGGGGTCCAGGGCCTGATGGTCGGTGACCTCAGATTTGACCCAAATCCAATAGTTAGAACAACAGTGAAGACATTAAAAACAACCAAAACATTTATACACATTTATCCAGTAACTAAACATAGTAGGCAAGATTATAACAGAAGAAAATCTCTAAAGCTCAATGATATTATTATTATGTACTTACTCTGGGTTTCTAAATTAAGTTTGTTTAAAAATTTAAATACACTTCTTTTATTGATATAATAACTACAAACATAAAATCTGCAAGCAGATAGCATTGGTTAAAGACACTGTATGTCAATTATCCCCTTGGTGGAGTTTTCCAGAATAACACAAACATTATTCAGAGTATATATATATTTTGAAGTATTTTAACATTTGAGTAGATTTGACCACCATACATTTATCATTCCCAGCACTTTGCCACAACACTTACTGGAGGTCTTCTTTCCTTCTCCCCCAATCAGGGCGTACTGGCCAGGCAGTGGCCATGCGGGCCAAGGCGTTCGGCTTCAACGTGATCTTCTACGACCCTTACCTGCAGGACGGCTTGGAGCGTTCGCTTGGTGTCCAGCGGGTCTACACCCTGCAGGATCTTTTGTACCAGAGTGACTGCGTGTCCCTGCACTGCAATCTGAACGAACACAACCACCACCTCATCAACGACTTCACCATCAAACAGGTGGGACGGAAACCCCTCCTCCACAAGACCTGGGCGATAAATAGCAATGAAAAACCAAACTGCTGATTTCCTTAAACTGTTACAAGAACCTTTTTTGGTTCAGTATTTAGTGTTTGCAGCTTGCAAGCTGTAAATTAAGCCTTTATGAAATATCAGAGGCAGTGACTTGGAAACTATTGTTGCTGAGACATATGGGGTTAATCCCATGCAGTTTTTTCCATTTATAACTTTGATGTCAGTGTGACTCAGATGTTTTCCTCTGCAGCCTCCTCACTCGGTTCAAGCCACACACAGATTTTCAGGTAGAAAGATTGAATATCTAACAAGAGACATTTATAGACGTTTTTCTTGACATTATCTCTTGATGCACTTTATAATGTTTGTTGTACAGCACTTTGGGCAGATGTAGCTGTTTTTGAAAGTGCAATAGAAATAAAATTGACATTGCAATCTCTTTTTATATACGTTTACTCACAAATATTACCCCTAAATATAGAGTAGTCAGGTTCCAGAACCTGTTTATGTTTCATGATCTTATATTTCCCTGAGCACATGCTGCCTCAGTCCAACTACGATACAGTGAAATAATTGGTGGATTATATATGCAATGTACGTTTAAACCTAGGAAGAGATTATTTATGTCAGATTTTTATTTCATTGCACCCAACTATGCTATACAAGTGTTATAAGTGTGATGATTGCAGATTGCGTTATACTGCTTACTGCTGCCACCTGGTGGATAGGATGTGTCCATGCTTCAGGTTTGGAAAACTCTCCACAGAAGGCAAGTTTAGATTAGAGCATAACAATAATGGGCTAAGATTACAGCATTTTTGTTAAACTTGAGGCCATCATATAAAAAATTAAGTTCACTCTCACATTATGAAATTGCAGTATTGGATGCAAAATGATAAATTAGGGACATAAAGAGACTTTGGGGTCTTTACTATGGAGAGCAAAGTCATGAGTTATTTGGTATAATACAGATTAGCTTTTAAAACTTTCAATTTGAAATGTTTTGTTAAGAAGAGACAAACACTTAGTAAAAAAAAAAGAATTATGATTTTAGTTTGTTTCAGCAGATGAGAAAACTTTGTTTCTGTTAACATTGAAGAGGGACGTTACACATTAAATCAAACTTTATAATATATTAGCAATAAAATGAAAGATTGCCTAGAATGGTAATTTTTTTCTTTTACTTGTAGCTGTAACATATTTTAGATGCAGTTGTGTGAAGTTCAGTTCATCCATTATCATTACAGTGATATTAATTCATTTACTCCAGTTTTTTACTGCTTCTATCAGTTGATCTATCGTTAGCGTCGCTCCGTTTAAATAACCAGAGATCAGAATCAACTATTTTCATCTTGATCCGCTTTGATTAGCAGGTCACATTCTGAAATAAATCCAAGTGTTCCCTCTTTTTTTTATTGAATAGATCAAATCTAATAGCTCCCACCATTTTCTTTTTATAAATGCAACAACAAACATTTTCTTTAGTAACACTAAGTGTTATAGATCAAATAAAGATGGAGGATAATCTTGTAATTTGTTCATTTTGTATTGAGCTCAAAACTTCTATCTCTAAACACTCTGAATTCAGCAAAACTTAAATAGGTAGGTTAGTAAAAAAGCTAAAGAATGGCAGGCAATAGGCAAAGCCTAATAAATGCATTTATATGAGTGTTCAATTATCAAACAAACGATATCATGAAGATTGCTCAACAAAAGCCTTTTTACTTATTTCTATAGATCAGTGATGCTGCAAATCCTCATGTTTAGTGTACAAACATTAGCAATAACCTATCAAAAACAATGTAATTAATTAGAAAATCATAGACGGGATTACAAAAGGTGACATTACCATGGTAACCTTAGAAGACAGAGATACAGACGCTTTCTAGCGGTGGATTTTAATCCTCCCACTCATGCCTGAGCATCTGCTTGTTTTGGTTGCGGATGCAGAAGGGAGGAAAGGACGATGCCTCCTCCAGGCGCTCGAACTGGGGTGAACCATAACTGCATCTCCACAAACAGTGCTGCTGATTGGCTCAAATCCTTTGGGTTTTATCCCATAACTACAGCCCAATAAATCAATCCAAGCATGTTTTTATGCATGTTGTGGACTAATAATACTGGGTTCAGGAAAATTTAGAGATGCAGGAGCAAGAAATTACATTTTGCAATGCTAAATTCACCACAATAAAGGAATAAAGAGATTTAAAAATGTTTTCTACTTTTTTTTCGGGGTTTTTAGATGCGCCAAGGTGCTTTCCTGGTCAACACGGCCCGGGGAGGACTGGTGGATGAGAAAGCTCTGGCTCAGGCCCTGAAAGAAGGCAGGATACGCGGCGCCGCAATGGATGTCCACGAGTCGGAGCCTTTCAGGTACGCCTCATTTTCTGCATGGTTTTATTTCCTACTCCTTATTTTATTATTATTGCATCAAATATTTGCCGTCGATCAGTTTTTCCCAGGGCCCTCTCAAAGACGCCCCCAACTTGATCTGCACCCCCCACACCGCCTGGTACAGCGAGCAGGCGTCGCTGGAGATGAGGGAGGCCGCCGCCACGGAAATTCGCAGAGCCATCACCGGTACGGATCTCCTTCTTTAGCTTTACCAGCCTGGCACAGGTTTGGATTTCTTAACTCAACATAAGCTGAACCCTCCGTCTTACAGGCCGCATCCCAGACAGCCTGCGAAACTGTGTTAATAAAGAGTTCTTCGTGACCACGGCGCCATGGGGAATGATGGAGCAACAGCAGCCTCAGGTTCACCCTGAGATCAACGGCGCTGCCTACAGGTGGGATCATCAAGCAGCGAGCACGTGTGGCATCTCAGTTCATGCAGTTGTTAGGATGGGATGAAGACTTGCTCTGTGTTTTTGTACAATAACTCGTGTGTTTTTGGCCCCAATGAGCCCCAATGACGTTTAGGCTCTGCGTTTCATTGTCTCAACCCGCCTGAACTGCTTCTCTCACACAGCCGAGTGAACCAAACCATGGTACAGGCCATAGCAACGGGGGGGATGCAGGACAAATTATATACCTAATTCTCTACCAGGTAAATGAATGAAGAAAGAGAGTTGTGTATCTGTTCTCCTTCACTCTCTAACCTAAACGCCCAGTAACTGCGCACCCTTCCCCTACCCCGAACAGGAACCTAAACGCATCATGGGGTTATCTAGTGTTGGGGGAGTTAAAGGAAACAGAGGTGGTTCGATGACAGAGATTTTGTCCTGCCTGCTAACAACCACAGATTTTAATGTTTTTATTAGAATCGTTTCCTCTGACTTTATAGGCAGAGACTGTGAGGTGAAAGAAAATGGAAAAAAAAATGTTTTTTTAAAAAGAAATCTGAAAAATTCAGGGTTGTAAATAAAATCAGTTGTTTGCATTAATATATTTTTTGTAGTTTGTATTTTTGTTATGCTAATAACTCCAGTTTGGATCAAAGTTTTGCCCCAGAACCTCTAAGAGCTTTTCCAGCATTCAGGTCCATCCATCCTTCTGCCAGCTCTGACCAGCTTCCCTGTCCCTGCTGAAGAAAACCATCCAAACAGCATGATCCCACCAGCCTGCCACCACCATGTTATTGTATGGGGATGGTGCTTTTTAGATGTTAAAAGGCTGTAATTTTGTGAAGTACTTTTGCTTAAAACTTCACGACTGTATCCTGAAGCTGTCACTTCAAGATGCTGTCTGTTTGTTATAACTAAAAAATTCTTGAAAAAACAACAGTTTTTGGACTAAATTTAGCTCTTAAGCAACAGATGAATAAAGCAAGACAATTTTCAGAAAAATATGTTTTATCAATAATGATGAAAAACACACATGTTGTGTTTGTTTTTTACTTATATTTGCATTTCTTTATGAAACTAAATGCCTCTTATTATTTGTACGTATCTGTTAGATGTTAAGTTAGTTTTATTAGGTGATTATTTTACTGTTGATCAAATTGAGTTAAAGTTATTTCAATTTTAGTAGTTTTTCCTCTTGTTTTGGATCAGCCTCACAATGTCAGAATCGAAACGTTTCCTGGAATATTTTCGGCTGAATGACCCTTTAAATGGATGCCTACATAAAATAATCTCCCCACCCCTCTTCATTTGTTGATGTCCTGTTCCCCGCATTTATCCCTATCCCTTACAAACAGGTGATGTGGCTCAGGCAGTACAATTAGTTTAGTCTTTTTATGTTTTGGCAAAGCTGTTTACTTTAGCCATGATTAGATATTTACAGTTTAGACATTTCTAAGTAATTTCATACCTTTTTTCCCCTTTTCTTTTATTAAGAAAACTCACAATTGCCACATCATAATATCAAATTTATGATGTGGAATCATTTACATTTTCTTCTTCTTCATTTCCACTGAAAATTCCAATGATAAGTTTCCAACGGAAGTTGTTCACTCTGTATCCTTCTTTCAGGTTTCCTCCTGGCGTGATGGGGGTTGCACCGGGTGGGATAATCGGACCGATGGAAGGATTGGTGCCTGGGGGGCTGCCCATCGCACACACCCTCCCCCCGGGCACCCATCCGTCACAGGCAGCCTCCCCGCACCAACCCTCCAAACACGGCGACCCCATGAGAGAGCACATGACTGAGCCGTAACGAGGCCGCCGAAGGAGTCGATGTGGGTCATGAACGCAGTGTAAAATCAAAGGATCCGACCGAGTCGACCCGTCAAAACTAAAGCTTGACTTTACAGCCGTCTGGACCTACCAGCAAACTGCCTGCCGGGCGATGTGTTACACACTCTGTTTTTATATGGAAGCATTAAACCCAAGTGAGGACAGTGGATAACGGTGCACGCCTGAGCTGCCACACCCAGATGGGACTGAGCTGTCAAAATCCTGCACAGAAGATCCCAAATCTCTCCCTGTTTCAGTTCTCATTTTACTCCTCACTGAACTAAGGGAAGGTTTTCTTTACTATTCCATATATTCATCGGATTCATCCGACTTCTGCCACTTGTTAGCAGGAGCTAAAGGCTCCCCATCATCCCTGGTTTAAAAGACGACACTGTCAAGCCTGATCTTTCCATTTAGTTTCCCCCTCATGTCTGCACAAACGTGTCTGGTGTTAGTTTTATTTTTTGTTTGTTTTTTTTTACTCAATTTGATTTTTTGTCTGTGCTTCTGTTGAAAACCGGTATCTGTTTTTTCTCTGTTGTTCAGTGTGTGGAAATGAAAGGGTTTACCGTCAGACAAGAAGGATCTGGAGTCTCTTAGATCCGAGCTCTTTATTTTTGCCCGTTTCTGTCTGATGGGTGGTGCCCCCAGAATGTAAAGACAAGATAGGAGAAAGATGATCTGTAAGGGTAAGAATAACCCTTTTAAACCAAAAATAAAAAAAAAATTGGGGAAAATGAATTAAATTGAGCACTAATATTTAAGGTCCCTCTGATATTTGCTTGTTATGAACAAAATATGATCTGTTTGCATCCAAAGGACCTGATTTGCATGGCAGCGACGCACTTGTGAGATATGAATATGTCGGGGTGGGAGGGGAATAGAAAAAGGAAATGACTTACTCAGGAAAAACTAAAACATTAAATCTGAACAGAACAGGAAGAAACTCTGGATTACTGCATTTCCTTTCCCATTGTGGTATTTTTTTTATAAATCAAACGTACCTGTTTTTTTTTTTTTTTGATGTTGAAGGTTGTCACTCTTGTTAGATTTGTATTGCCTTGTTAAATGTTCATATAAGTGTAGTCTGACGTGGCTGACCCCGCCCTCGCCTGCCCCTCTTATAGTTCTTATGTTTTCCCTGCTGTGACGAGAGCCAGATGGGGTTCCCAGAGGCTCTGTGAACAAACAGCGGCCACATCCATCCATCCCTTCAACACCAAGACTTTAGCAAGACGTGGCTGCTAGCAGATTGTTTGGTTTTTAGTGTGAGTATTTGTATTTGTTTCTTGTATAAGGTGAACATATAGCATACAGTGCAGCTGGAACCAATAAATGAAACTTACTGTTCTGATTCATGATTGGGATTTCTTCTTTTTTCTATGGCACAATGATTCACCTGATACTTTAAAATCTCCACAAGCCCAATTGTTTATTTGAATAAAACATGCCACTTCGTTGCAGTTTATAGATTATTTGCTCTCCTTTTCTTATCTTGTCTGGAAAAATAACTGAATATTAAGTTCTAAAAGTTGATAAGAAGATATAATCCCAGCTTGTATAAGTGATGTAAGTTTGTGCCTCCGAAAAAATAATTTATAACAGCATATTTTGTGATTTACTGAAAAATAATAGTTAGATTTTTATGCCCCCTAGTGATCAGAGTGGTTTTTGCAGGAATTTGTCTGCTTGATATAATACTGACTGATAAACAACACTGTAAATGTGAAACAATTTGTTCATCTTCTTTCAAACACATGTTTTTTTACGGACATTCTTAATGTGTATCTTGTAAAACAATGTTAGTCCAGCCTTTGCAGTTAGAACAAGTTAAAAACGTTCCATCTGGTCGAGTTCAGAACTCGGTTCGGTGGTCCTTCATGCCTTTGTGGAGCCACTATGAAACTATTCCAGCAATTTTTGGATTATTAAATTTTTCTAAACTGTTTTAGTGAGCTGAGATATTGGAGCCACAGCTCCAATGAAAGCTCATCCATTCCTCACATTTACCCCATTGCTGGGTCACAGTGGAGCAACTGATGCGTCCCTCCAGTGTTCATTGGGTGAGAGGGGAAGGATACATCCTGGTTAAGTCATCAGTCTTTAGCAAATTTACATCAAGTTTAAAGCTGTACATTTTTGAAGAGATGAACTTCACTTTTTCCATTATCTGGTAATTGTACTAGATGCATTTCCTTTCCTGATAACTTGTCTCATTGTTTTTTGTTTCCTTTAAAAAAATTAGTTTGCTTGAGATGTTGCCCTGAATGACGTCCATGGATGTGTCTCCACTCAACTTAAATGTGTTATTAGACCTTTATGAAGCCATACAATCAATTTTTTCTCAAAAAAAATGAGCTCATTCACTACTGGCATTAAAGGTATAGTGGAGGATGTTCTTTTTCCCAGGAGCGGGTACAGGGCTGTGCATGTGCATTTTTTTTGCAAGTGGAGAGGGTGAGTCTTTTCAAAAAATTTGCAAAAGTCCTCCACTATACCTTTAAATAGAGATACATTTAATCATTCTCACAGTGTTTACTTGGATTTTATATCAGTGAGAAAATGTGGCATAGGTTATTTGCAGAGAAGAAAAAAAATTAACATCCTCCTAGGAATATTGGGATTAGATTTATCTACGGTATTTATTGAAATTATGTAAGAAATATGTTATAAAATGAAATGCGTTGAAAATAAAACTGAATACTTTCCAGGTTAAAGTGTAAATCCAGTGACCTGAGCGGTGAAATCTGTCCTCTTTCCACGCTGCAGAAACACAACAGTTCAGTCCAGACATTCAAAAGGGTTTTATTTGTTTTTTTCCTCCATATTTTTCCTTTACCTTGCATTACACTCCGCTTAGTGAAGTCAGGCCTAAATCCACAAACCATCATAGTTACAATTTCAACTATTGTATAAATACAAAGCAAACACATAGGTGATGTCCAAAAAACATGAATGACATGAAACACGGAGGAGGTTACAGTACGCAATGGTTAGAGGGGGAGAAAAATAACGCAAACGGTAAGGTATTATCTTTTTTCCCCAGTTATTTATTTTTTCGGCTTTGGTTGTAGATGTTGCCATTTCTCACAACAAACTGTATGGAAATGATGGACAACGGACTTTAACTGACACATGTGAGCTGGCAACCAATAACTGAAGGGAACAGGAGACAAATGTGAGCTTTAACACTAAATCGCCTCATCTGTCAGAAAAACAAACAAACAACAAAAAGCACCAGATTTTAGGCATTCAGATGAGGTACTAAATCCCATGCAACATGTTTAAGTAAACTTCTCACTGTCAAGATTGGTTCTCTCCTTTACAGCAACAGTGTTTCTGTGCAAAAGTGTCTTCATCGAGATTGAGAGCATAATTAACAAAATCCACACAAAGAAAAAAAAAACAATCCGAGAAAAATATACATAAAGCTCTTATTAGCTCAAAGAAGTTTCCAAACAATAAATATGTTGAATAAATTCAAGCACACGCACAACTTCTCAGTTCAATCAGTCTGTATAAAGTAAACCGAATATCTAAACGTGTTAATGCGCTAAACCTTAGAGGGCGAACCTCCCTTCAAAGGATCTTATTTCAAGCAGTGATGCTGCATTTTGATTAGAAATGTGTCCATAAAGGTGCATTGCTTATAATAAGGATATAGTAGGTTGTTTATTATAATCTCTGGTTTTCTGAAGATTATATTTATTGGCTTTGTCCTCGTCTGTTCAAACACAAAAAACACACAGAAAAAAAATGCCTAACGAGCCAAACTGTACAACTGGAAAACACGTCAAAAAGATCAGGTTGGAAGTGTGCTTTTGTCAGTGCCCCACGCTGAATAATTATAAAGTGTTATCTTAAATAAATGCTGGTATATTTCCTTTAACTTTTATCAACAACCACATGCATTTGGATCGATGGATAAACATTAGGTTTGTTTTTTTTTTTTTTATTTATATTTGAAGCAGGAAAAAAAATCGAAGGGTTTTCTGGATTCCTCTCTTCTTCTCCCCCGTCGTCGTCAGTCAGGAGTTGGTTTTATGAAAGAGTTTTTTGTAAGAACATGACCGACTGGCTGTTTGTAGCAGAAGAGCAGCAGTGTCTTCTGTAGTTGTGGTTCCCTGTCCTCTGCTGGAGGCTTTCACAGTTTGTCCGTGTCAAGAAAGGATAAGAAAAATAAAACAACCGGAAAAAGTGTAAAAAAAAAAAAAAAAAACCAACATGAAGAAATGGGGGAGGAGTCCTGCCTCCTGCAGACCCGCTCTCTCCGCTTCAGTTTAGTCACTCGTCATCGTCGTCGTCCTCTTCTTCTCCGTCAGACAAAGAGGCGCAGGGTCGGATCTGCCTGTAGCCGTCCAGCCACTTCTCCACCATCTGAGTGACGAGCGGATGGTTGCGGCGGCGGGAGCTTTTCTGCAGCGCCACCAGAATGCCGCCCTCCGTCACGCAGCAGTCCAACCACTCTCTGAGGAGTTTCTCCTGTTGCTCTTCGTTTCCCATCTGAAAGAGAGCAGCGGGTCTTACTACACACCACGGCATCAATCATGCAAACCTTCAAAGTTTCTAACGTCGCTTTTATTGGGATGTTTTACCCCCTTATTCCCTGTCAGAGAAAGTCTCCATCACCCTACAGTAAAAGTAGTCACAAAAAGGAAGTTATGACAAAAAGGAAGATTCTCTGATATCTAAAACCGAAATACATTTTAAAAAGTCTTAAGATTTACAGAGGCTAATGAAGCTGTGAAGACTGTCCAAACCCCACTATGAAGACCAAAGAACACAGGTGAAGTTTAGAGGAAGATCAAAGCATTTAAACAAGCTTTGACCCTCTCATCAAGCATCATTCAAACAATCATCTGGGATATAAAAATTACATTAAACTACAATGTAAACTAACAGGCCATGAAAAGAATAAAATCAACCAGGAAGAAGCCAAGAGGCTCATGGCTACTCTGGAGGAGCGTCACACATCCACGGCTCCTGTGGGACAGAAGTTTCCCTACATTGGGCCTTTATGGAAATTGGGAATAAGGAAGATGTAGTTAAAACAACGATGCTAGAGACCTGATTTACAGCTTAATGCGAGAGATGAAAGGATGCTTCTAAGAAGTGGAAGAAGGCACCTTAGTTAGATGAGAAACATTCAAACCTGTGAGTTATATGATCCAAAAAAGAAAATAAAAGCAGTTTGTAGCAGCATTAGCCTTTAGAATTTATTTATTTATTTTTTTAAGCAGATTCCAGCAATCTGTCCTAAGCTGATGAAGTAGTGGAATCACACCTGCTGTATTTTGTGGACCAGAGTTCGTTTCCCTCTTAGTCAGAACTTTTTTTGCAGACTTGAGCAAATTCTGGGTTGCACTAAAAAAGGACAGACAGTGACCTAGTCCTTGCTAGTCTTTTCTGTCCAACGGGAGAGCAACAAAAGTCCCATGTGTGGTATTGTTTTAAGTTATAATCCACTGGCAAAAAAAAAAAAAAAAAGGATCTGATGAAGGGAACAACTAAAAAACAAGAAGAAAATGAAAATTTTCTGGTGTAAATACATCTGGAAAAACAATGATTACAGAGAATAATAAGGCTGTGGGGTGAAAGGTTCCCTTTCCTCAGGGACTAAACCCACAGCCGAAGCTTCAGTGGAACCATTCGGATATTTAGGGAAGGTGAATATATTTCTATGCCACACTTTACTGGACAACTATGCACCATTGGTGTTTTCACCAAGGATGACAAATTATTTTGCTGGTGCTCCTTTTTTCGTGACGATAACAAGAACTAATGAGCTAAACATGGATCTTGGATGATGAAAACATCATGAGTCATGGGTGTGAGTTTTTGGTGACGGGACGAGACGAGTGAAAATGTTAGCAGATTGTCTGTAGAATTTTTTAAATGCATTATTTTGCTGTGATGTGCTACGTAGTATTACATGAACTTGATCGTGCCACCCACCTGGTGTGCAGCGGTGTGCAATGTTTCCTGGTATTGACCATTACATGGTTTTTACAGGGACTCTAATTTAGTGCTTTTTAATGCTCTTAGAAATAATTTTAATGCCATCAACAATTACCCATGACTCTCATAATTACACGGCAAAATCCTTTGTTGACTTTACCGTCGACCGGCTGCAATCCCTCATTTTCCAGCCCCTTTTGTTGAAATAGCCATTTTCCCATTCTCTAGCTTTTTCTCTGCCTCAAGTTTCTTTTCCGATCATACAGCTTTACGAACAACCGGAAGAAGTTTTGTGTAAATTTATCGCAATATAATATATCTGACGAAATTGTTTTTAGACATTTTTTTTTTAAATAAAGCATTCTAAATGTCATAATAATCCCATTTAATGACTTTCAATGCCAATTCAGAATCTTAATTTAAAAAATAATTAATTTAGTGACTTATAATAATTTCTAATGACCCGTGGAAACCCTGCATTAAAAAATATTCTCTAGTTAGCATTTTTATTCAGTTTTGGTCTGGATTGCCTTGGCATTACAATTATGTAGGTTCTCTGTTCTCTGCCTTTATACAGCCTCTCTCTCAGGTCCTCAAGCTGGTCAATGAAATCCCAACTTCAAAGGTGGATCTTCTTACTTCCTGTGCCGAGAGGAAGTGGATGTGAAGCAGCTTCCTCTCGCTGTCGACCAGCGGCAAGAACGTGACCGTCTCATCATCGTCCGTGTTGAGGTTGGCGCCTGCGCCGCGATTGTCGAACCCGTCGTTCTCCATGGCTACCAGTGCTGAGAAGTGGCCTCGCGTGTAGCCCAGAGCGATGGGGCTCTTCCAGCAGAAACTCTGCTCCCACAAAAGAGGCAAGTACACACCTGATATAAAAGAAAAGAAAGAGTGGATTAGATCAAAAATAATAACAATAAAATCCTTTGTGTGAACATAAAATCTATTTAAGTGACAATCAGCATAGTGAGGAAAAAAAACATTCTTAAACCTGTCCCACTACACAGAATAACTGTGACAAATGTAATCGATGCCAATAAATGATTTTTGCCAATTAATCTACAAAGAGCTCCACTATATGAGCTCCATCATGCTACATTAACACCTAGATAACATCTAAACCAGCCAGCCGTCTATTTAGGAATGGAAATCTGCAAATTCCCATCAAAGGCAAACTATATATACTCCCAGGAGAACAATAGGAGCAAGTTGAGCTGGTATGCAGGGAATGTCAAAGAAACTCTTCTATATCCAGGAAGAGAAAGTTGATTTAAAACAAATGTGGAGACTTTTACAACTTCCAAAGCAGTTGTAGGTTATTATTTGTGAGCTTAACTATAGATCAGATGCGGTGTGAACATTTGGATGTGGTACATTTCTAAACCTTTAGATCGTTAGAGAATATTGAGTACTGATTCAAAGATTTCTGAAAGGACACTTAAGGATTTTTACTATGCAACTTATTGTTCATTAATAATTAGGTTTGACAAGATTTTGTGTAGAGTAACAACAATTTATACTGAAGAGTAGCACTACTTCAACATGTTTAATCTGTTGACACCTTAACCTACAGGGCCTAATCTGTATGTAGTCTAATTTCTTTATTAACCTGACCTTCAAATAGCTCAATGAGCTCAGCGGATAGAAAATAACAACAAAGATTTTGCACAAGCAAGAAGTCTCACTAACATAAACTCTTATTTGATTGGTTTGGTTTAAATGAGGCTCTTCTTTATCCATTAATGTTTCTCACTTTCTCGTTTTCAGGAAAGAATAAGACTGTTCAAATAAAAGCAAAACGTACAGTTCAGTAAAAATGTTACTCAAGTAATTGTAACTAGTTGCTATCCACCTGCTTAACTGGAACCTGCTGCCAGTGCTTACTTTAACAACGAACCTGATTTCTGTCTAGCAGCTCCAAGTCAGCACCAGTTCTTCAAATGACCAACCCATATAAAATCTGCTTCTCTTTGTGTTTCCCACTGGCTCCTGGCAACAGTAAATCACTGGTCCATCAGACAGACTTTACAGTAAGTAGCTGGCTCCCTCCAAGGACCTTCATCATGTCCAGCACAGTATAAGTAGGCGGCAAATTGAATCCAGACTGTTTTCAGAGTTAAGATTTATGGCATTCTATTGTCAATTAACCCTATATGGACAACATGAAGAGAAACTGAAATGCAGTTCTCTCACTCTCAAGATTAAGACAGTAAAGATCATCAGTAAAGATGATTATCAAGGATAGAAAAATGTAATCTAAATCAACCTTCTTGCAGACTACGCTTAAAAAAAAACAGGTTAAAAATAAGTTACATATGTAATTAAAAGTTCTCAAAGGCCCATAGGGACCAGTCCAATGCACATCCAAGGAACAATATTGCAAAACAGATCAAGTTTATAGTCTGGAGATGATGTTCATTTAGTACCTGAGGTTATGTAGCCTCAGGAACTAAATAAACATTCCTGCTTTTAACGGCTCTGACTTCTCATGCCTTACGTTATTATAAGTCACCCCCCTTTTTTCCAAGGTTTAAATCAAACAGTCCAAAAATAAACGAATTACACTAGAGTAGGTTCATTTATGTCAAGCATCTGAGCTATGCAGACACATGTAGGCTGCAGCTATTTTCAAAAGCGAGTCCAGTTCTTCCACACCCACGGAGTGTTATCATCGCTGCATGAGAGTCAAACAATGATGGCTCAGACAGAACCGAACGCTCACCTTGAAAGCGAGTGTATCCGAGCGTTTCGCCGCGGAAACTTTTGTAATACTTTACTCCGTAAACGATGATGGGCCTTCGAAGTATGTGTGCAAGAACAAAAATATGTGTCTGCTCCAAGCTGGATCCTGGCTGCAGAGCAAAGGCAAAACACATAACAGACAGAAAACACAACTATTAGGATAAAACCCTTTTAAAAATATAATAGTGGTTAAAAAGAAAAGGAAATAATTACGGAGCTTCCACACCCACTTTTAATGTATCCCACCCAAATGCTTAGTCTGTGAGCTCATTTAGCAGAGTGCTGATGACAGGCAGAATGCACTTTCCCAAGACGTTTACAGGGAATGTTTACGATGGCAAAAAGCAGGAAACTTTCTTGCATAATTCATGCATCATTAATGGGACTCCTTTTAAGCACAACAAGCTCATGTATTACATGGTAAAACGTTGCTGTTTGCCTGTAGGGACGTGTACCTGGCTGGCGAGGGACAGGATGAAAGCCCAGTCCTCCTGCCACTGCTCCTCTCGGAGGGAGAAGTGCAGGCCGAAACTCTGGGAATACCACGACTCCCACTCCTTCCAGCGGCTGTAAAACCTGAGGAAGAACAAACTGCTTAGACAGTTGGCTCTTCTTCACTTTAATCTTGCTCAGTCTGGGTTTTACAGAAACAAAAGGAGTCGAATGAGGCTCATGTTTATGTCTGATTCTCCCACAAGCAAAGGCTGCTGTCTGAGCCGAGTTTGATGGCGCAAGAGAAAATATGTTTTTTATTTTTCTTTAACTTCTTTATGCTCCATTATAAGACTGACATCCCTCCGAGCCCACGTTACACTCACACTATAGGAGGGTAGGACTGTTTCAGAGTGATAACTTTTACCATAATTTGGATGTTAAGAAACAACAAACACCAAAGAAGTTATTTAAATAATCAGGCTCAATAGAAACATCTTACTCTGCTTCAAAGACTGATAAATGTTTGGTTTTCAGAGCCAGTTAGGGATATTTCTAACGACCCCTTTAGTCAGAGCTGGGTCTTGATCAAGGCTTTTTAAGACAATTATATAGCTAAGTTCAACCTAGGTTCAAAATTAGGGCTGAGACAATTAATCAGATTAATCATGAGTAATTTATTATTCAGTAATCAATTACATAATCAATCCCCTGATTTAATTCTATAAAAAAAATTCTTTAAGGAATCTTTTGCTAGCCGATTATTAATCGAAAAAAAAATGATCAACAGATAAATCGATTAGCAAAATAATCGCACGTTGCAGCCCTATTCAAAATGAAATGCTACTTTTATGAAGCAGCAACACAAGCCTCCCAGTCACACTGATAAATGTTACAAGCTGAACAATAAGTGAGTCATGAAAACACACCAAACACTAATATTAGAGTTTAATAACGGCTGTAGCTGAATGTGTCGGGCTGATATTACTTTTAGAGACAAAGACAAGCAGTTTAGCTGAAGTGTTCTTAGTTATATGTGGACTAAATAGCACATTAAGGTTGTCCTGCAGAAATAAGGACAAACACCTCTAAATTAATCGACTTGAATGGATCAAATTAGGACACTGTGGCAACAAATATTAAATAATATTAACCTAAGAGGGCAGTAACTATTGACTTGGGTATCACTATTAAGTTTAAACAACCAGGTTTGTTTTGTTTTCTCTCTGTGTGGTAAAAAAATTATTTCTCATACATGGTTTATTAGTTTTTCTTCAATCCTCTGGTTAAAATATTGCTCTACCAGTCATAGGTGTTCCATCAGTCTGCTGAGCAATGTTGGGAAATGTCAAAAAAACAGCAAACTATGCATTGATACGGTTTTAAAAAACGCTGCAGGTCTCACCAATGTGAGCAGTCATGTAAGCTGTCGTGAAGAGTCTTGCGGAGAACGGAGTCCTTGTCGTAGATGCCCCATGTGGCCTGCAGCACCGAGTCGAGCAGGCAGTCCCCGGCCGTCCGGTTCCAAAGGGCATAGAGTCGACTGTCCAATCTTGATCCAAGCTCTATAGACCAGTTGATGATTGGAGACTCTTCTTCAAGCTCTGACCAAGAAGAAGGAAAGATTACATGGAAGATAGATGCTAAACTTATTGGTGAAACCCACATTAAAGGCATGTTCTAGTAGCAAAGCATACAGGTTAGAGAATACAACTAACAACACTACATAGTTAAAGTTTACCTTGAATCCCCAACTAAAACAGATCTTGTTTGACAAAAAAAAAAAAGAAAATCAAGGTTTTTATTACAAAATCAAACATTTGCACTGCAAATTTTCAAGTCAGTTTTTCCTAAAATAAGTGCATTTTTTCTTGTATCAAGCAAGTAAGTGAGACCAATGGAATTAGACAATTTACATATAAAATAGGGGAAAAAACTGCATTGTCTTAATCCAAGTGCATAATATCTAATGATCTTATTTCAAGGGTAAAAACACATATTCCATTGGCAGCTCATTTTATTTACCTACTCAAATTAAGGGTAAATACATTTTTACTTATTTTTAGATCTTAAACAGACACAAATCTAAAGAAAAATAAAATAAACATGCATTGGGCTTCTATTTCCAGTTTGTTATTATGTATGAAGACTGAACACAGCCACATTCATTCAACCAGGATCAAAGAAATCCCTGAAACTCGATTAGGCTGATTAGCAGAGAGATGAAACTGATTGAGGCAGACCGCCTGGCCAAGTGACAAGCTAAGAAACAGTGTTGGCAGGAGGGAAAATCCATGTAACATAACACTGCCGGCATGGGGGAGACCTCTTTGTTATTGTGCACAGGTTGTGAAAGGAGCCCGTGTGTTTGCCTAGCAACCGGGCTGTTGTCGGATAGATGACACTGCAGCAATAGGATGTAGAGCTGAGGGAGTGAATTATTTACCCTTTTGGACGTCTCGGTCCAGCACCTCATCAAAGAGCTTCTCCTGAACAGCAGGAGGCAAGTCCTCTATATCTGAAAAAAATAAAATAAAACTACATTTAACAGATGAGTAATATCATATTTAACTTGAGAATTGACTCTTTTACTCATGTTTCTCAAAGACCAAAAAAAACTAAAAAACTAAAGGATGTTTATTCTGATAACAGTCTTCCATTTCTGGCTGTTTTCATCTACAGCCAGCTTGTTGAACAGCAGATCTGAGGCACCTTTAAGCTTGTTCCTTCAGCTTATATAAATTAATGCCATGTCTGTATGATGGCTACAAGCAAGTCTTAGCACTTTCCTGAATAACATGGAAAAAACAATCCCTGGTTCACAACAAACAATAGGACAACACAATGAACGTATGTAAAGAAACTCTTACAAACACGGCTCTTACTAAATCCAGTTTTCTTACAGATTAGAAAATAAACAGCTGGATGGGTGGCTCTGTGTTTGTGCGAGAACAATGCTGAAAATGCAAGCCAAAGGTAGCCCCCATGTGCTTGCTGTTAGAAACAGACAACCGGAGCATTATGCCCCTCTCAGCATGCGAACAACACGCCGTTTCACACTCGGCAGGCAAACAAAACGCGCATTCTAAGACACGCTCAAAAGGCCAGACAATAAGCTGCTACAGCTGCAGAGCACCGTCAGCCTCTGGAGTTCCTGTAATGATATTCATGAACATGTCTGCACCAGCTGTTTGCTCTGACTCATTTGTTAGTGGATGAGGTTCTGACCTGCAGGTAGGGTAAAGGTGACCAGGTCAGTGAGGAAGTAGCAGGTGAAGTCACCCTTACGCTGGTGAAGAGAGGCCGCCACCTCACGACGAATCTGCTCGGTCAGCTCAGGACACACCATGGCTGGGATGCACTTGGCTGCCTGCTGGGACACCTGCAGGAGGAGGAGACAAGGGAGAGTAAGAGAAGCTTTATCTAGATGAAAACAGAGCAAAAGGAGTTTAAACATTACAAGTTATCACAACTTCCTGCAATCTTTAGCTGAGCTTTGGCGAATGAATCGTTTGATTTGGTGAGATTTGAGAAGCTTCTGCTGCTGAGAATAAAGCACACGTGACTTCACTGAAGTCAGCATGTAAAATCTAACCATAGGTGTGAACATCAGGGGGTTACTAAAAATAGCACACTAGTGCAGTAAGGAATATGATACAGATAGATGCTGGTACTGCTTCTAAAAAATTTAACTAATAAACAGTTCTAATTCTAAACTACAGTAGTAGCAATTCAAAATTTCCCCACTTTCCTTGGGCACTTGGCTAGTCCCCTACAATTCCTTTTTAAACATCTAAAATATTCTTTCTGTCATGATCTGTGGACACTAAAAACTAAAGAGAAGCGTTTTCTCCTCGTCAGACCCTGTAATTCAATGAAGGGTGGAGTCAGAATAAATAAATATGCACGCCCAGGAGAAGGCCAGTGGCTGGAAGTTGGAGGGGATTTTGCTGCAATTCGGCTGGCTTTTGACTAAGTTTTCTAGAAACTAAGAAGTTTTTCTTCTCATATGTTTTCCTTTACACTGAGAACACTCCTGGTTTGTTTAATATATA